GTTCCAGTGACTCATCTCAGACCTCGAGGGGCTTTTACGCGGCCACCAACGGAGCGACGCGTGGAGGCCGACATGGCAACAGCCGGACCCTGTCTGACTCTGATGTCCAAGACAAGCGCTCCAGGATGGGCCTGAGCCGCTCGACAATGCCTTTGCAAGCCGCTTCCTCCTCCAATCTGCCCAGAGGGGGAAGCTACACCTCCGGCCAGGAAGGCGCCACCCCGCCCCCTAACTGCCAGCTGACCAACCGCAAAGCTCGCAGCGCCAAACCGGACCTTCAGGGTCCAAGTTTAGCCACGTCGTCGCCGCCGCCGCAAAGAGGGGGCGCCTCCGACACGGAATACGCTAACCTGGTCAACGCCATGGATACTGACCGCCAACGTCCAGAGTCACTCGTACAAACGCTACACGACCAAAGTTCACAGTTACTTCACAACAAAGGTGCTTCATCTTGCAGATTGGAGTATCACCAGTCCCCATGTGTACCGATGCAATTTTTTAAAAATCATATTGCAAACCGGGCGCTTTTGTTTTCCTAGCGTTGGAATCCAAAGGGAAACTGCGGGGAAAAACAAAAGTGCAGCGGAAGAAGGAAGAGAAGGTGAAGAAATCCACAGTCAAGACTCTGGGCGATGAGCTAAAAGACAACGTGGCCGATAACGACGACACCTCCTCCACCACCACGGAGACGTCAAATCCGGACATGGAGGCCAGCATCAAAGAGGTACCGGTACAACCCCCTTCCAAAAAAACGTTTCTCATTTTCATAACACATTTGGGCCACAGTCTTTCGCTGCGATATGCACACTGAAAGGGTACGAAAAGGACAGCGTGCATGGGCGAACTATTCCTTTTTTTCAACCAAAATGCAGCAATTTGGGTGTCTTCTTGAAAAAAATTGTAAGTTGGGTTGCTTTCCTGCCAGGAACCCCTGAAAAAGAAAGGAAGGGCAGGAATTCCGGCAAAAGAAGAAAAAGAAGAAACAAATTCACATTTCCTTATCAAACAGAAACCCAAGAAACAAGGAGCCGCAAAAAAGGAGGTCCAAGTTGAAAAAGCCAGGTCTGTATCAAAATATCTGCCCGCATGATTGCTGTGATCATTGCAGATGTTATTTTTTTATGTATATATATATTATAGTTTCAGTGGTAGCCATTCACTGTTCTGCCATCTTGAATTTACCGTGGTGTCATTTGTTTGAAAGTATTATGAAAAGTTGCATGGGTACGGGCTTGCATTGTCAGTTCCCTGGAGTTGCCGTACGTGACGCCGCTGGAAAACAAACAGCGCAAGGGCTTCACGTCCAAATCACACCAACCCCTCCCCAGCGCCCCCAAGACAAGACCGCTGCAGAATCCCAGATGTGAGTCTCCTCCCCCTGCACACTCTTGCGTGTGACCTTGTCTTATTATCGTTGTCCCCTTTGACGAGTTTGCCTCACTGTCTTCCCACAGTCGAAGCAAAGCTGGAAGAAGGTCGCCCCTCTCTGTTGGCCAAACTGCTGTCAGGTTCCGTGCAGGAGCTCGGACACAGCAGCAGCTCGGAAGGCGAGAAGGAGTTTGCCTCCCCCGAGTGGGACATCCCCGTGTGCAAAAACAGCGTCCGTAAGTGCACATCCGCTTCACTTTTGGTTGCGAAATAAATGCTTGTGATTCCCATGCAGCGTTCTTTTGCGTAAAACTGGATTGCCCTCCAAAATAGCCAATTGAACCAAGCTGTTTAAATGGAGTACATAAATGCGGTTCTATGTCTCGTTGAATGCGTAGAAGCAGACAGTCTCCAGCAGATCTCCATCCAGACATTAAACGCAGACCCCTTCCTCAAGCGATCCTCCACCCCGGGGGCTTGCTCTCCACCGCCCACCTCCCCCAGCCTGCTGTCCCGCGGCACCTACAGCAGCGTCCTCAACAGCAACAGGTGAGCATCGCGCACGCACTCACGCACTCACGACAACGCGGCACTCTGCGCGGCGTGATTCAAACTCCGCTTTTGTTACAGCGACGTGAACCACAATAAAGCTCCAGGAAGCAAAGCTTGCTGCCCCACGCCACTTCCCGGCAAAAACGGAAACCCCACCTTTGCCGCTGTTGCCGCTGGTTATGACAAGAGTCCAGGTAAGAATTTGTGATGGGTTGGTGTGCCGCAGGGATGTTAAGTTTTTCAACTGAACGCCACGTGGAGAAAAGTAGAAGGTTGCAAGGGCCACTTGGACATTCTGCAACTTTGATTTGAACAATTGTACACAGGGATGCAAATCACACTGGTCATCATCAAATTTTACTCAGAGATAGCATGACGTCCCGAGATGTATTTTTGATGCTGAAAAAAACTGAATGAAAACTACACCAACGGTAGGTCTCAAGTTATTTGTCGCCACCAGGTGGTTCTGGATCGGGCAGGGTCGAAGGCCAATCGAGGAGTCTGGCACATACGACGTCAGTCGAGAGTGACAGCTCCGACAGGTACTGACAACAAGAACAAGCATTCATGTGACACACAAATCCCAACATTGATGTGTTTTGTTTGGTTGTGTTGTAGCTCAGGGTTATGGAGTCCCATCGACACAATTAGCAGCTCAAACTTTAACTCCACCAACTCCTTCTCCGCATTTGGGCCCAATAACTCCTTCAACCTGACAGGAGGTAAAAGACTCACATTGGTTGACACTGTACAGGTCTGTGTGTGTGTGTGTGTGTGTGTGTGTGTGTGTGTGTGTTGTCATATTTCAGATTAAGATTATTTTTGACGATTTTTCACATTTGGGAGGATTGACAGCTCAAAAAAAACACATTCTCCCCACAAAAAGTTGGATCTTGTGTAACAACTTTGTCAGTTGAAAATATTTATGTTTGAAGAGATAAAACTCCGGCCTTCCTGTGTGTGGAGTTTGTTGTTCTCCCCGGGCCTGCGTGGGTTTTCTCCGGGTACTCTGGTTTCCTCCCACATTCCAAAAACATGCACGGCAGGCTGATTGAACACTCAAAATTTTCCTTCGGTGTGAGTGTGAGCGTGGATGGTTGTTCGTCTGCGTGTGCCAAATGATTGTAATTTCCCCCCACACCGCCGGCCGGATGAAGGACTTTATGGAAGAGTAAGAGTTATTTTTTAAAGAAATGTTAATGAAAGCCTTGTTCATTAGTTTTCAGCGGAATGAGCCTCCAGAAGCCATCGGAGCCTCAGTTGAGCTGGCCCGACTTCACCACGGTGCCATCGTCCATCTGGGACATGCCCAGTGCGGACCCCCTCTACTCCTGGCCCACCAGCTCCAGCTCGCCCACTGCACCCACCTCAGTAAGACGGTTCATGTCCCCCCCACCCGTTGCCTCGTGGTAAGTTAAATGTGTTTTGTTTTGGGGGGGGTTTCGTCACAGTCACTCCTGGGAAGCAGCCACAACCCGTGGTCCGCCAGCACCGCCTTCGGCAACTCCATTTGGTCGGCGAGCACAGAATCGTCGCTGCACCCTTACTCGCCGGCTGTCAATTCTCCCACGCTGACGGACCCCCTGGATCCTTCCCCGTCGCCCTCGGCCGACATGAGCCGCACGTACAACCCGTGGAGCATGTGGCGGCCCACGCTCGGCCGGCGGAGCTCGGAGCCCTGGCCCAGTCCCTCAGAGGACGCCAATTAGAACGGCACTTAAAGCGGCGACCAGATATATTTTTCTCAAGCGCGACGGGAACGATTTCGATCACTCGCCATTCTCTGTTAGTTTTTCCCGACGCATTTTATTCACGGGGGGCCGACACTTTTATTTGTTTTAACAGAGGTGCACCCCCTCTAAAATGAGACGTTACGGCTGGAAGTTTGGTTCGCCGTGCAGAATCTCAGTTCAGTATTAAAAAGTTCAACGTTTTTCAAGAGTTTTATTGCAATCAGTTTCATGGACTTTCAGCCAAGCGCGCAGCAGCTCAGATTGGACAGCGACCTTGGCTCTGATTGGACGTTTCATGAAATGGCTCCCCGTTTTAAAAGTCCAACAATTACTTGAGTTTGAGGTTTGAATTACACCAGGCCTTCATTTGTCAGAAAATTACAATAAAGAATTTCAGCACAGCACCTCCTTCTGGGTCTCAATATTTTCTGATTTGCAGTGATTGTGCTTTATTCCTGATATTTGCTGCCATTTGTCCTGAATGGGCATAGATGTCAAGTTGCACATTTACTGTAAAATCACAAATAATGGTCACTTTTTTTGCAAAACCAAAAGATGCCAAATCAAAGTGGGGCACGACAAAAGGTGCTTCAGAAATGAAAAAGTTTAAATTGTTTAGACATTTACCACCACCTGGGCAGTACTGAGGGGTTGTAATAGGAGATTTACAAGACATTTCATACAAAACGTGTCAATATGCATTTACATACTGTAAATTACTTTTAAAGCATTTAAACGTGTTAAGAGATTTTAAAATGAAGAAATAAGGAGTTAACCGTGTTATTCACAAGATTTTACAAAATAGTGGCCACTTGAGACAAACGAGACTCCGCTACACGCTTTTTCAATGTCTTATACTGCCCCCAAGTGGTCACGGTGTGCACAGTCGCACAATGTCAATTTATGCAAAAGGCAGAAATTATGTATAGCAAAAAAAAAAACCCTGCTTGAATAAAAAATCAACTGAAGCCAATTTTTACTCTAATTGTAATATATTTTTTATGAAGTATGATACTTACATTTTCTTCTAATGTAGTCTTGATTGATTATTGGATGGAATTAATCTGGGAATTTATTTTCCAGCATCAGGGCTCCCAGGGGGCTGCCTGAGCGACTCGAGCAACAGCCTCGCCAACCTGTCCTTGTTGCATTTGGTGAACACCGTCACGCTGTGCTGCTTCTTGAGCCTGCCCACGCGGTCCAAGACCATCATGCCGCGGCACATGGCGCCC